TTAAAAATGGGAAAAGGCCAAGATACAAGTTAAAATATGCTACTACTTTTAGTGTTTTTGGTACATATTATGAAGAGTTAAATGATTTGCATTTGAACCAGCAGACCAACACCAAGGACCATGACAACACTAGTATCACTATACCAGCTTCTGTAGACTCACTCATGTCTGTACTCCTTACCTGCAGATGAATTGACCAAACAACTTCAATATATCTTGGTTTAACTGATGTCACATGATTTATAAAACGATTTATCTCACAAAATATCCAATAGGAATGTTATTATTAATAATCTCTCTTGTTAAAAATAAAGTACATTTTAAAATGATGAAAATTTGTTCAGAAAAAAGTTCCTGAAGGCTGAAGGCATTGTACCTGTTGCGGCGGGGGTGGTTGCATGTAGCCTTGTGGAGGCGGTGGAGCTTGCATGACAGGCTGTGATGGAGGAGGTGGTGGAGGTGGTGGGTGAGGGTGTCCAGTGGCGGGCTGGTAGCCAGACGGAGGTGGCATGGGCTGACCCGTGGTAGCCATGATGTAACTGGTCTGAGGTGGGGGGTGCTGGGAGAGCACTGTTGGAGGAGCCTGATACATTGGGGGAGGCTCAGGGTTCTCACTGGATCCTTGCCGACTCAGTGTCATCTGGGTGAACTGAGGAGCCAGCTCTTCTGCCTGGGAGGAATGAAAATAACGTCCTCAGGAGCAGATTGAGAAATGTATTGTTTTGCAAGGAGTCAGAGAAGAAATTGGAGATGAATTACATCTATAGAACACCTGGTTAAAACACTGGCCAAACTGAAGGCCACCGCTCTGAAACTGAGCATGGCTGAGTGGAACAACAATTGATTTTGTTATCTCAATTAATCCAATTACTTCATTTAAATAATCAAAATGAATCGCATTATAATGTGCTGAATTCAATCATCATGTATCGTACACATGCAATTCAAAAGTACTATCAAATTTGGTGCTTTTCAACAACATTACGTAGCCTTAAATCCAACAACAATAAAACTTACAAATAGTTTTCTTAGGATACATTACAACAGCAAACGCAATCAACAAATTCTTAATAAAGCTAATTATATTAGTTAAAATAAAAATTTAAGTCAAAACATGCAAGATCACAGAAAACATAACCAGAGTTTGAGTTTGCTCAATGAACAGATGATTAAAAGCAAAAATATAAACGTAGCTTCTCCTTTAAAAATAGTAACTAGTAAACAGATGCAAGTAACAGCAGGGTAAAAGGGTGCAAAAGTCTCTGGTGGAACCAAGTGTTAGTTAAGCTTTAGAGTTGTGTCAGTAATGCAATCTTGAACTGAATTATTAATAGTCAATGAAGCTTAAGAAGTGTAACTACCATAGTGTACTGCTGGGGAGGAGAAACAGGCAGGAGAACCTGGGGGCAGGAAGGGCTGGAGTAGGATACAGTCTGAGAGGGCTGCAGTGACGCCACCGGCTATAGATGCCACCAAAGAGGAGATGGAAATTAAAAAAAAAAAAAAGAATAAAAATAAATGTTGAAGAGAAATGAGGCCATTAGAATACCAATGAGGTGTGAGAAGCAGAGAGAAATATAATAATGAAGAGAAGTAGAAGTAGAGAAAGAGGGAAAGTTTGGGTTAGACCACAGAGGAAGCTCGGAGCACCTGTTTATCTAGTTGCAATAATTGACAGTGAAGGCACCAACCTGAGCAATCATGTGGTTGCCCATGGCGTGCTGCTGTGGGGTGGGCAACAAGGCTGTCTGAGGCGGTGCCTGTGGCTGCTGTGGCTGTTGTGACGGGCAGGGAAGCAAAGTACAGCTGGACTGGGAGGCTGAGGGTGGGGGGCAGATATCAGGACTAACTAGGGACAGACCTGGGGATAAAAATAACAGATATGACACCAAGGAAGCGGAAAATAACATTCAACTAAGCAATGCAAGCAAAATCCAAACTGAGGTTTAGATCTTCAGAACAGAATAACAATTCTGTTTTGCTAGCATGACAGCTAACACTAGCCAGTTTTTGCTAGCAAGCCTAAATTCTTACCAGTACGGGAGCCTTTGCAGCTTCCCTGTGAGCCTTTGTTGCTACCGAGGCTATCTCCCCTGGTAAGAATGGATATACCGGAGAAGCTGCTGGCCTTAGTGACCGGCGGCCGTAGAGTTCGGTTCGAGCTTTCCGAGTCGGTGCTGCTCCAGGGCCGTGGCTCCAGGCACTTCATCTCACTGTCTGTGCTGCTCTGGCGGCTGCTGGACGCTCGGCTGGAGCTGTCACGGTTCCCTCTGAGAGGATACAGAGGAGAGAGAGAGAAAGAGAGACAAAGATTGAAATGATTCAAATGAAGAAGAAATAAAGTGTAGAGAGATAAGGTAGCAACAGATCGATGTGTTAGGGAAGCAAGATGGTTGAAGGTAAGAAATGAAATGAATTTGGAGTAGAAATAAAAGATAGAAGAGGAAACATGGGGACAGAAGCAGAGAGGGAAAACAAAGTCACTAAATGGCAGAGAAGGCAGGTTCACACCGTCAGGCCTTAAGGCATAACATTTAACACAGATGCAAACTGTCAATTGTCATAGATACAAAACAAAAGTCAGGCAACAAATCACCAAACAATGTCATTATATCCAGTTGGAAACAGACAACCACGCACACTTTCACACTCTCTCACACAGACACACACACACACAAACCCATTTACAGAAAGTCACACATGCAGGGAGAGAAGCTGCTGCACAAGGGAGGGTGAGGAAAACACACAGGAGACGGTGAGACAAACATGAGTTCCACAGGAAGGATGGGAGACTGTGGACAACGATCACATTGAAGACTTTCCACAGAGAGAACTTGCATGAAAATGAACACACGTAACAAACGTGTAACAAACGAATACAAGGATAAGTGCAACACGTGCACACATACAGTTTTTAAAATATTATCAGATGTACACAAAAACTCACACGGAGTCTCACACACACACGCGCACGTCTGCATACACACTGTTGTGTTGCTGTAATGCTGGGTAAAGGCAGCTGTCTAGAAAACCAATGATCACACAATAAGTGCAACCACCACTCAGGGGAAAACCCCCTAAACCCCTGCCCTAAAATGCACCTGTATATGTATATATATAACATTCTACCAAAGAAAAATAAATATACGAGTACATGAAATTCCAAAAAAAGGAAAAGCTGTCATCTTAATCCATAACATTCTACCAAAGAAAAATAAATACGAGTACATGAAATTACAAAAAAAGGAAAAGGTGTCATCTTAATTTTTTTTTATTGTTACCTAATTATCCATGCAACTGTGTAAATAGCACACAGTTAGCTAAAAAACAGAAGGTATAAATTAGTAAACTGACTATGGGAATCTCCCCGGCGATAACAGGGATGTTTTATTGGTTGTAAAAGGCTGCTGATGGTGAGCGACTGTGGCTGATGAATATTTTAGAGAGACTGCAATTAATGGAGGATCTATTTTGAGTCTGGTCTCTGCACAGCCTATTTTGAGGAAGGGTGGGTACTGTGTTTTTCTTTTTGCAGGCACGAGTACACTTGTTCACTACACCAGAAAAAAAAAAAAACAAAAAAAAAACAGAAGGAGCAGCAGGAGAGGGATTCAGCTGCGTACTGCACGATACTTCGTCTGCACACTCTCAATATTAACACTGCCAATCACACACGACGACATAAAGAGAACACGCTAGGATGTCCTAGACATGTAGATCTACCATCGACTGTCCCCGTTTAAAACACATTTGAGATTACTGTGTGGATGAAATAGTAAAATGTCTTTTTAAAAACTAAGATTTTTTTTCTTTCAGACCAGCTCTATCAAAACACTGTGGTCAACTGATGAACTAAAATATTTAAATATAACTTATTAATTAAATTAACATTTACACTATATATTGCATTTTACGTTTTTGGCTACGTAGAAAAACATACTATAAACATCTTTGGTTTATTTATAAGAACATAAGGGATGAAGTGAGTTCACGTTAACAGGTTAGCTCTGACTTATTTTTACCAGAAGAACACTGCATTAGTTTCCCCCTGCTACGATGCAAAATGTAACAGAACTACAAGACTTGATCAACCACAAAACAAACAGGTTGCTGTGAGAAAATGCAGTTACTTCATATAAAAGGCATTTGACAGTGGACAGATAAGAAGGTGCCCAATCAATCAGTCCCAAGTCAAACCACAAAGCAGCCATGCATTGACCACGGAGGTCCCACGGTGCAGTGCTGGGATAGCCATCAATCAGCCAGTATAGTAAATAAAGAAAACCATCACAAGTCAACACTTTCATAACCAAATCACTTTCAGAAAAGGGCATGGCAACACACACGTCAGCAGCACCCCACTGATACCTAAAGATCTGCCGCCTCTTTTGAGAGCTAGAGCAGTAGCCCTCAGTGGAAAGTCTGTTGAGGTCAATATTGGGAGAAAATGTGAGGGTTAAGGGCTGGACTGGAGAAGAGGACAGGATTTAAAGAATCATGGAAAAAAAAAAAGAGGGAGGGATAAGTGGGCGCAGTAGTGTAAAACTTTTACCCTTCAGCAGAGGAGAAAAAAATTGCACACCAGGCAGAATGTGAATGCTGGAAAACCCACGCATCCCCTCTCTCTCCTTCTCTCTTTCTCTCTCTGCATAATGTGTTCTAGTCTTTCAACCTTAATGACAAGTGAGCCCAGGGACTGAGGCGGGCCATAACTGCAGTGCTGGCTAACTACAAAAAATATTTGTTTACTACGTACAGATCTTTCCGCTCAGCCTTAAGACAATTTGTGTGGAACTCTGACGTACACTAACATTGTCAATTTTATATTGATTGTGTCTGTCAATCATACAATAATAAAAGTTGATACACTTTTTGAAAATACAATTAAAGCTGCGTGTGCTATTTTGCAATTAATATGGTTGGTTGAACTTCAATGGTTTTAAATTTCAACTGACATTAAGAGTTGGCGTTTCATTTGCTCAATATGTGTAAGCCGCAAGCCATTGTTATATTTAATTAATGTGTCATATTAATTAGCGGCACTGAATATAAGCTGCATCTTGCTGGATACCCACAGACGTAGTTTATATTATTACTATTATTATAGTATATTTTGGCAAGCAGTAAGAGTAGTAAGAAGTAATAAACTGAGAACCTCGCTTTTAAAAAGCAAGTGCTCCTTTATTAGGAAATGTATGGCCTGCCTGCCTGCCTGCTCTACACACCTGCCACAACAGAGCATGGGCTGCATTTGGGTATTTTCATGTTTAACTCACAGTTTGTAAAATTATAATGTAAGCTGCAGCGTGCACCTTACAGTAACATAGACTGGAATTAACACTGTTCTGTTCATGATTACACTTTAAATAATATGAATAGTGTTAACAAAATGAACACTTGGACCTGATTAGGGATAGCTCGGTACAAGTTTTTCATGTCTGATACTGCAACTTGGAATATCTGTCGATACTGATATCAATTCGATACCTTCCTCCAGCATGCTGCAGGCTGCCGTTGCACAGGCGACAGTGTCAGTGTTTACAGCATGTCACGCAAAGTTAATTTGGGTCTAGGTATCTTATCGTGCTGGAAGTGTTGATCCGGAAATTTTGACCAACATCGGACCCATACCAGTCCTAAGTATCAAGATTAATTCACATGCATTTATAAACAAAACTAAGTTTAGCAGTGATAACACAAAAAAAGTGCATATATATTGGGTATTTAATTGACCCATAGAAGTGTACCAACTTTAAGACAGAACTGTTTATAGTGTAAAGTAAACAATATCAGCATTCCATAGATGGATCTTATTTTTTTTTTTTTCCATTTCTGATGACATCATTCTGCAGTGACTTCCTCTAATGAAAACTCAAACTCATGTTGAAGACTGGCTTTTAAAGAATAAATTTAAAAAAATGAATGGAGTCATATTGTAAAGACAGAAGTATCGGCGCAACATCTTACCTGTTGTCATTGATGTATCCATTTTGAGAAGACTGTAAAAAAAATGACACCTGCACATTATGAAATGTTTGAAACAATGCCGAGTAGCAACACATGCACAGTTGATACTGATTCCACTGACAGAAACACTGAAAGGTGCATATTTACATCAATGTATGTATGTAGTAGTTACTGATAAAGTAATGAGTGTTTTAACTACGCCAGTGTTTGTAATCTTGCAAAGGTGTAAAACTTACTTCTCTGGCAAAGATTCGGTCTCGTACTCGCTGATACTCCTCCTCCCTCTCTTCAATGGACTTGCTACGTCGCCCATCCTGCAGTGGGACACGAATCTTACCGGACAGAGACGGAAATAAAGAAGGGTCTTTTTATTTATTTATTTTTTTTTAAGTGTGTGTTGAGCAAAGGAAACATGAACAATTTACCCAACAGACATCAACAAATGTGAAATACAATCACTGATTAAACAATTGTTTGGATGCTGTCGCCGTCCAAACTATACTTTGTTAGAGAGTTAACAACGCAATGTATGTTTTTGCCTACTTTTTGCAGAGAGCACTCAGAAATATGAAAGAGGATAAAGTACCGAGGATCCTGTGGTTCAGGAGTGAACAAGCACACTGGGGATCTCAACATTAATCACTATTTCTCAGTGAGAATTAGCCACATCTCAGGAGGGGGGTGAGAAGAAGTTCAGACGTTTTGGAGACGCTGTACTTAAGAGGCGGTGGGGGTGTGCACTTCCAAGCAGCTTTATCATGCAGCCCATGCATTACGGTTGTTAAATATCAGTGCAACCAACCTGATTATCGTCCTTGTCCATGCTGGCATCATCTCTCTTCAGGATAAACTTCTTCTGAAAGTCCATGTTACGTTCATCCTTGATGTGTTCTGAGAATCTTTGCTCCGGGCTGTAGGAAAAAGTTAATTGCAAAAAGGTCGATGAAATGCATGAAAACTGTATGGCAGTCAAATGCAGTCATGTTGATGCTAACAATCTACACAGACCTCCTGGCAAATTATAAATACTGCAGTGAAGGACTAAGAAAAATGTCCAAAATTGGCACTGAAAGATTTACTCACATGCGCGTGTTGCCCGTCTTGTTGATAATAACAGCCTTCCCGGTCTGATCCACATTGTGGTCCATCCCGAAGTAGGCAGCAACACGATGCAGCAGCATACGATGATAAGAAGTCATCTGAGGAAACTTCTTATACTGGTTACTGCCAGGACACAGGAAAGATTTTAAACATATCTGAACCTTTAGATTTTATGAAACAGTTTTGAAATTATTTTACTGAAGGGGAATCTTAGTTTGGAGAAAATATTTTCCGTATAGAGCAAAATGGATATTCTGCTCTGTTACACATTTTACAATGTAATTCCTAGGCCTGATGGCACTATTTTGGTCACAAGAGGACAAAAATATTGACCACAACATGACCCATAATATCAACTACACCCCACTGTATTTCTCTAATTACTCATTTGGCAGTAAATGAAAAACAGGGTAGATGCACAGGAGCTAAATTTAAAGATGAGCGACTGGTTACGAGGTACTTACTTGTCGTCATTGATGAACTCCAGGATATCTTGTTCTAGTTTGAGCAGCATCATTCGATCCCTGTTTGGCCAGAGAGAGAGAGGGAGGGGAGATCAATGAGTAGAGATGAGTTAGTGTAGCAACCAGAGATGAGAGTGACTACGATATACACTGCAATGAATGGTTTGAAATAAGCTGATTCAAAAATATTATGGTTTTGGCATATGTGGCCAGCATTTTGAATGTTTGAGACAATACTTTTCATAATGCAGCTGTGACAAAATAGATTTGTTTCTGCTATGCAGTACATGAAACTCTCTAAATGTCAGAAGAGGTTTCCAGTAATGATGACAGAAATGTTTGCCGCTCGTGCAGAAGATTCATGAAACGAAAAGTTTACTGGAATGAAGAGTGTATTTTAGGGCCATGGAAAAACTTAAGCATGCGTGTTCTCTGGAGAGGAAAATAAATATTTTTTGTTAAGCATCAAATGCCAGCAAAAGCGCCAAATCCAGGTGTGAGCAACCTGTGGCCTTTGCAACACTTAGCTTTCACTCCATTTAGGATTTGGGAGTTTGCGATTTCCAAAATCCAGGTGTGAGCAACCTGTGGCCTAGGATTTGGGAGTTTACGATTTTACAAAGAAAACCTGGCTAACATGAAACTTTGTCATTAAAGTACACAGCTATGTGTCAATGAATAGTTAACTACTGTTAACTAAAGCAACACAGCATGATGTCACTCTCCTCTTCAACCTCTAGATCAGGTGTTCAGTTTTCAGGAAGAGCAGGCAGCAATGTACGGTAAAGGTTGTCAAAAATAATGTCAGAAAAAGCTGCAGCCTTTGCTGTTTTAACTGTCTCTGTCATATCACAAGGAGAACAACAATACACAGCTAAATGCTGTACTTAGAAAAACACCTTTTCATTGTCCAACTGTCTTCTAGCCTTTTATGGTGGTGACCACATACCTGGGATTGTTTTTCAGTGTGTTGACCAAAAACTCATGAACATCGATACCCGTGGAATCAGTGTATTCCTGACTGGAATCTGGGAGAGATGTGGAGGGAAAAAAAAAAGAGGTGAAATGACTGACAGACTAAAAATGAATCCAAAAGCAAGTGAGACTCCTACACGTGTCGGAAAAAGCCGAGTCAGCCTGCTGCTTAGTTCCAGAGTCAAAAAGCTTACTAGATATGTAGCAGGAGACGCTGTATTACTGTTCTGTGGACAACACAAGTATAAACACCTCGTGTACATAACATTAATTTTACATGGGGGCTGAATATTTTATCTTTGCTGCCATAAACAGACCAATGATGCGTTTGTTGAGAGACTCTTCCATATCTGTTTTCCAGAGATTAAAACATATTGGAGATTTTAATCTGATACTGTGTCGGAGTTCCAGTATAGTCTCTCACCCCGTGACAGCATTTTTCTCGGAGCCTTGTCCTTCTTCTCTTTCTCATCATTTTCATACTCGTCCTTAGAGGACCTCTCCTCCTCCTTGTCTGATGGACAGCTGATGTGAAGTTGAATGATGTCCTAAGAAGCATATGAAGGCTGTTATGAGATGTTCATCTCAACAAAACAGTCAAATAAAAAAGCTGATCGTGAGGTAAAGACCAAAGTGAGCAGTGAGGGATTAGAACCAGAGAAAAGACCAGTAACCAGTACCGTTTCTGGAAGTCCATCGTTGGAGAACAGACCAGAGGACTCTTCACACACCGCCAGACTCCGTACCAGCTTCAGTTTGGCATTTGACTGAAACACAATCATACAGTGACGTATAACTCACTTATATCAGTTCATTTAAATGACATTAAATGCCACAACAAAGAATAACTTCAGATTCACATTGCGTGTAAATGTCACATTTTTGTTTTTGCAGGTCACCATATTGTCGGCTGTGCAACACTGGCAGACTGTGTTAAACATTCTTACTTAACTAATACAAGGCTTCTTTAACACTCTCACAGGATTTAACGTTTTAAGCCTGTGAGGAAAAGATAGCGGTTCACTTTAGTTGAGAGGATCACACAGTTATTAATAGATGGTCAAACAAGTGAGTTGGTGTTGGTTCGTTTGAAGAAACAAATACATAAGTTTAACAGACAGCAGAAAAAAAAAATAAAATAAAAAAGAGTTAAAAGAGTAAAAAATAATTAAAGAAAGATTTACCTTGGACCTTTTTCTGCTATGGCTATGGTTCGGACCTCGTTTCTGCAAAAATACATTTAAAATTTCACTTTTTAATCTAAGATCAAACAACATGGTTTATTATATGATTTAATTACCATCTTTGTTTTGATTTCCACAAATCAGAAGAATTTGTCAGGTTAGGGGTGAAATAAAATGAAAATGTTGGCACTGCCGTCACATCTAAGATAATTGCAAATTGTGTCATGGTGGCAGTGGTTGTAATCTAATTTGCCTAGATCTCCTCTAATGCTCTAACACACAAAAAAGAAATATATTATAACTATAGTAATTATAACCCATATTTTGTGGAAAATCCATTGTTATCCAAGTATAGGAGCCCAAGACAAACTAGCACACTGCATTATAAATATATATATAAAAAGGATCTTTAACAACAACAAGTTAATGTTACAGTTCACAATTAATCAGATTAAAAATTTAATTTTGAGATATACTTTTGCATATTTCTCTATCTTCACAATTCCATCATTTGGATTAGTCACAAAATAAGATTTTATGTTTGTCATATATAGGAATATTGATTTATTTCAAAGTTGCATTTTATGTTTGTCATATATAGGAATATGGATTTATTTCAAAGTTGCCAAACAAATCTAGAGTTCCATTACTGACCTGTAAATCTTGTAAGGTGCCATCCTCAGGCTCCAGACTCTCCCCTGTTCCCTCCTTAGTGCCCTGTGGTTGAGGGGAGGTCTTGCCTCGACTGCAGGGCTCAATGTGTGGCCCACTCTCTCCTTCCTGCTGGATGTCTGGCGTCAGGCTCACTGACATCTTCTTGGGGGAGAGGGAGAGGGTGGGACTAGGGGAGGGGGAAGGGCGGAGGACCCAGGAATGGCTGAAAGTGAAAAAGGGTCAAAAGAAATGGAAAGACATTCAAGGTTCTGTGGATTTACCAAAACAGAACAGTCAGAGAAACTACAGCACAGTACTGTATTTACCTGTATGTTGCACCAGATCTGTGCTGGTCTCTGTTCTGTGCAGTGAATCTGAATGGGAACCAAACACAGGAAGATGACGGGAACCCACTATGGTCAGACACAGGGATGAGCTGCAGCACAGGGCAATGTAACTTCCATAGCAAACGTCAACAGCTGTGATGGTGCTATGTGGTTTTAAAAAAAATAAAAATAAAATAGATGTTAGCAAAAAAAACGATACGACTGTAGTGAAATGACACACCCTTCTCCTTGAATATTTACAAGCAATTTATATATTGATTTAGATTAAAAACAAAACCCAATAACTGTCCCAATGTTAATTATTGATCTCTAACATATTTTGATTTATATAACAAATAAATCCAGATCTCCAATATTATTATTTTTTCTAAATCGATTGTATTCACATTAAATTACAAATAAATCAAGAGAATACTATTCACAGCTAAAAAAAAAAAAAAAATTAACCACCACCTTAGCTTCCGCAGAGAACTCTCTCTTTATTCTTCCTCTGGCTCAGTGCAGCAGCATGGTATGTCCCCACAGCCAGGAGCCCTGAAACCAAAAGCAGGAGGGAGACACTGTGATGTCATGTTTCATAGTTAGTGACTTATTGCTGCAGCTGGTGATCATTCTTTGAGAAAGGGTTAGTGAGTTAAAACAAAACTTTTCTTTATGGTCTCTGCTGTGGGCCGTATTCAAAAGCACAAAAATTAACAGCAGTAACTTCTTAATGAACTGGAGGCAGCATATCTATAGTCTACTGCAGGCATAGCCAACCTGCGGCTCGGGAGCCAAATGTGGACCAATGTGAATCTTATGCTGACGGCCATTGACGCAAATTACTTTGGGAAACCCCAGTTCGCAAAGATGTGAAGATGTACACAGCAGGTTTTAAAAGAGTGGGAGTAGTTTTATTTTTTAAGGGACGGGGCAGTTCTCCTGTGACCATGTATATCATGTGGCTCTTTGCAGTAAGACGGTAAAAATTTACTTGACTTGAAGCAGTTGGAATTCCTTTGAAACAAGAGAGAAGGCTATCTTACAGATCCTGCAATCTTCTACCCTACGCATTTACACTGCCTTTCTACAGATCACAATATGTGTAGAACTCCACATAACAAACCTCATGTGATGGGTACATGAAAAGGAACTCTTTGCAAACCTAAGTCTCAGAGGAACAAGTGTCAGCATGTATGGTGTATAAGTGCCATTTCTTATCCTTAGCAGAGGAGTGCTCTGGGACAGATAAAAGATGAGCGTACAAATGAGCCTGGGATTCCCACTGAGGGGAAGGCCCAGGCAAGGCAACTGCAAGTGCGTCATCAGCAGCATTACACCACATCACTGACCAGAACACCCACATGGCCCAACCCAGTCCTGCCTACACGAGCCTACCATGCAGCACGAACACTATCGCAGCAACGTGATCTGCTGCAGGCAGACATGAAGGCTGATTATGTTACCTCAACGTTGTTTCTATGCTTGATTTACTCACGTACTGTACTGTTTTCTGCACTAAAAGAATGTGTTTTCATTCACAAGTCATTTGGCTTCATGCGTTTTCTCAAAATAAAAAAGCCTGGACCTGATAAAAGCAAAATCTGAACTAAATCTCAACACAAATTCAAATGTTCTAACAGCTTGAATGATGTAAATTGATGTTTAGGTCCCGACAGGAATATGAAAACCTCTACTCTTCCTCCACGCACAGACCCACAGTGTTGCCAAGGAGATTGTAACGTCATTTCCAGCTACTGCCATTTGTGCCGAGTGAGTTCCAGAGAAGGGCAGTGTTAAAAATGATATTACATTGATGGCTGCGTGCACAAACTGGGGGAAGAAAGGGAAGGAGCTGAAAGAGCAGTATGGAAACAAAAAATGTTTTAGCTATCAACTAATCTTACTGACAACAGAAAAGAGAACACACTAAATTTACCTAAGGTAATGAAACAATATGGCCCTTTTTTTTCCCCAAAACAAATGTTTGAGTAGCGGACACAATTTTATCTGACTCTTCTTGGTTTTGATTACTGACTGTTCCTCAACATGAAAGAGAATTATTGTCATTAATGCACACCACGGCACACAATGAAATTTGTCCTGTTTCTTTAACCTATCACCTCCAACACAAGCTCAGTAGTGGATTCAAACCCGCAATCTCCCAGACACAAGGCCACTTCCTTGACCACCACTGTCCCTGCAAACGCTTACATCAGTTAAGGTATAACGCTGGCAAGACAACCTTTCTTATGTACATGCGAGAACATCCTTGTCAAAATTAGCAACAAGGTCAAGCCAGGTCAGGGTCTCACAAAAAGATGGAATCAGGTTTAGCCAAAGGAATGAATGGAATTTGAACACCATAAGGTGAGAGGAGAAAACTTTTCTTATTGGTTGTGCTTTCAGAATTAATAATTCCATTTTTATTGACCAATAAATACTATATATCAAGACATCGAGAATGTGGTATTAATTAAATAAGCAATGCACAAAAAACATCACCTCAAACATATAACAGTATGTATGACGTGACGTTTCAGTAGTAGCTTGAATTCATGCAAGTCCCTTGGTACTTTGATTACATAGAAAACTCACAGTATTTCCAAAAATACTACTTCATTTTGGAAGTCAATAATATTTCACTTTGCAGAAATAAACCCTGAAAACAGAAATATTCTCTCACACAAAAACCTAAAAGTTCCTAGTTCCTAAAATATTTTGTAGTTATAGGTTCAAAACCACTGCTGGTCGATTAGAACAGATATTTGGTTAAGAAAGGGATATCCCAGAGAAAAGCTAGCTCCACCTCCTTTTCTCTTGGTGGCGTTGCTATGTGCAGGCTGATAACGCTGAAGCAAATCTCAAAGAGACAACCTTGACAGAGTGCTTGTCAAACTTACAGGCTCAGACAAATACATGTAAAAACCAATGACAGTTCCCAGCACGCAGAAAATTCACACACACATGTAAACCCATGCAGTTTAACAATTCTACTGGTATTGATCATTTATGCAATTCAATTTACATTTTAAGTAAAAACGCAGCACCAAAAGTATTTTTCTTCCTTCCATAACTTCAAAAAACTCTACACTCGGAGACAAAAACCCAGCTGTATTCACAAAAAATACAAAACACATGCAACAAGTACACTTTAATTTGTCAGCAAAGTTCAATTGAAGGTAAAGTTGAATGAAGCCCATAACCATACAGAAGAGTGACCTTTACAAACCCAAAGACACCACAGGAAGAAACATGCACAACCTTTTTTTCCTGCTTTCAGGCCCAAACGCACTAATGTTTTGACGTCGGAAAAAAAAATTAATTCCACAAAAGGCAAGGTTAGGTCTTTTATGTTGGGGAGGCTCAGATTGTACAAGCTCAGTGCCTGCACATATTATATATCGACCACAATGTAGCTTCCAGTGTTTGTCTGTGTCAGAGAGGATTCCCTTTTGCGTCAGTTATTCAATTTCACACAGGAAGGTGGAGCAGGCTAACAAAGAACTACAAGAGTGAAACAGTTCAGGGACATTCATCCTCAATTGGTGCTGCAGTTCACATCAGTCAACTCACACATATTTGGCCATCATGCAAATAGATTTTGCATTCTGCATGTATATTCAGCAATAAGCTATACAATCATTAAAGGGATTTTATGAATGGGGAAAGCATAGAAAACAGGATGATGAACACATCGGAAACCAGAAAAGGAGGAGGCATGGGTGGTCAAGTGAAGCGGAACACAGAGTTCCTCTTTTTCCATTTATGTCTCTCTTTGTCCGTGTCCTTGCCACCCCTTCACTGGTTTCTCTCTGTGACAGTGAGGCTACCCCTTCCTGCCTTCCGCCCCCTCCACATCAACCCCTCCCATCAATATCTTGCTCTACATCCACCTACTATGTGGTATTGGCTCTATGTCTCTCCTTTTTCTTCCTCTTTTAATGTGTCTTTTAAATTGTCAGGCTTGCTGCTGACGCCATCCTCCTCCACTCAGCCTACCCACTCAGTCCTGTGGGACGAGCTATGACTCATACTCTCCCTTCTTCACTCCCCTTCCTCCCTAGTTACCTACCCTCTCTCCAAGTCTCCCTTTCTCCATCAGTTGCTCTCAATAGTTACAATCTATCTTTAGTTTTCTACTGTGTGTGAAGAAACACACTGAAAGTCTACAGCAGGGAAATTAGACCTGATAATAAATGAGAGAAAATGATCATTAAACATAAATTAATAAAGAAGACCACGTATAAATTTATAAATGGGTAATTTGAATTTGCATAATAATAAATGAGAGAAAATGATCATTAAGTATAAAATAAAAAAGAAGACCACATATAAATTTATAAATGGGTAAATGAATTTGCGTAAATAAAATCACTCTTAATTTATATTCAATACGGAATGACAATAAAACTACATTTACAAATTCCTGCAGACATCGTTAGTTATTTTTCGTAAAATGTAATCCAATTCTGACAAATGTATGACACTTCGTGTTGCAAATATAAGGGAGGGAGTGCCCATTTAAGTCAGTGTGTGTACAGTGCGCTAAAGGACAGCGAGTCAAGTCTATTAAAAAAAAAAAAACCTACTTTTAAGAATCAGCATAGACAGATCCTGAAATATGCAGTATTAGAAAAAGTTTAAGGCAGGTGTATACACTTCTTTTTCTGCAGACTTCGTCTTTTTCAAGTTTTTAAATCAAATTTAGATAAATATAGATGCAAATTCAATTTTAACCCTGTATATTTTTATTTTCCCCCCAGGTATTTCATTCATTCATTTTCATTACCATTTGCTCCACGTGTGTCCAAGTGAAAAGCTAAGTGAAGTTACTCATGAAGCACTGAAAGGAAACAGAGACATAACAGCCACTTCAAAAACTGCAGCAACAGTGCAAAAAAAACAGAACATATCAAGAGCCCATCATAGTATCTTTTTCATGTGTCGGAGACAAACTGATTCATTCATTCAATCATTCGCTACCGCTTAGCCCTAATGGTAATATAGTAACTGTATCACAACCTGTAATTTACAGAACACTGTGTGGTACTGGCACACAGTAATCACGAGGAATCGCAACACTTGTATGTACCGTATGGTAGTAACTGTGTTAATAGCATAAGTCCTGAACCCGTTGTGTATCAACAGAAAAAAAAAAAATTCTTGCACGTTTGTTCTTTGTAGTGGACCAATAACTACTAAAAATATATATATAAAATAAATTAACATTAACATTACACTAACGGCATGTGCTGATATACCTACTGTATATGACATAAAACTCTGAGTAACTATTTATGGACTGTATTTTAACCAAAGCCAAGACCACAGCATGCCTCATTCTGATATTACAATAATAATTATAGTAGTAGTGTGAACATTTGAATGATACCGTGATAACCCTACAGTAGTAATTGTGGTGGTATCTGCAACACTACTACTGGGATGGAGTCTTTAATAATGAAACAGACCTGAGATCTAAGCTGGGTTTACTTGTTTGTACTGCCTGGGAAAGGCTGAATTAACTAACCGTGAATGAAATGGGAATAAAT